TTGATGGTCTAACAATGATCGATTCATAATTTCAATGCAACTCAATATTGTGCATAAATCTCTAGTGAAAAATCTTCGTCTTCTCACTACACTATCCATATCTGGGTAGGTTGATCACTTGAACATTACTTCCTTAAATTAAATTCAAACTATCCAGTCACTTAAAACAGATTTATCCCACAGTATCTCATACTTTGTACTTCATGATTCATGTCTGGAGATTCTTAAACTCGAATGAACCATATATATGATTAAATGATTACACATTGAGATTGTATTCAATCATCTTTGTTTTTTTACAAATATCACTTGGTTTCAGCCCGCGCAAATTCCTCTACTTACTATCGAAAAAATAGAGCCAAGAAATTCTCAGCCAATGGTAAATTTTAGTTTCATTATAGAAATGAGAGCGACATTTGTTAAAGACTTTGTTTACATGCCGGTAATATTTCAAATAAAAGTAAATTCAACTGAAGTGTATATAGTTAGACAAAAAATTCAAACGATTGGGTATTTATTGAACACTGTGGTGCCTATTTCATATAACTCTTCCGTCAAACCGTAAGTAATAAGCATGAAGTCTATTCTCTTGTATATATATATATATATATATATCAATTAACCTTTGGTTGCAATGTGATAGGTGGTTGTATCTAAATAATGATGATCAGGTCGATAACTCATAACGATGAGATAGGCGCAAGTTTAAAGCAGACAGTGAAATAAACGATTACAGTTGTTGATATCTAAATGTCTTTTTAATAATTAAGCATTCAGTTAAAGTAGAAATATATTTATCCTTCAGCTAAATAATCTGAATAAAATATAACATGCCATACAGAGTAGAGAAAATGTGACTAGCAGTAGAATTCAGGACAACTATTGTGTTCTGTTTGCCTTTTGTCGGCTCTATGTACCTACATCTTATGTTTGATGTTTACTTTATCACTCGAATCTATTATATTTTATTTCAAACGTGCAACGTGTTCTACTCACACAGTTCATGATTTCAAATAGCCTTTTAGCTCATGCAATCATACAATTTTATCATTTCTGAGAATTATGTTTTCAACAATCGATTTTCGTTGTTTACAAACAAATGAGGTAGAAACCAAGACTCCCTTTTCGTAATATTTAGGACACATCAGCTAGATGTACCTGTCAAACCTTAGAATTGACGTTTACTATGGGACTCGAACCCAATACTTTTCTCTCTAAACGCCATGGTTTTATTCATTAAGCTAATGAGTTCAGATGGTCACTGGCTTCTACAAGCAAACAAAGTGCATGTATTACACACACTATTATTGTAATTAGTTATCATTTCTGATATACTCACTAACTCAGTGTTAAACTTCAATTCATTTGAAGTTGAATCTCTCTAACAATTAATTACGTGAAACTAATAAACATTTGTTATGAAAATACTTTAAATCTCCATAATAATAATGATATCACATTATTATCCCCGTAGAATACAATCAACCAAATGCAATGGTTGGTTCATATGGTGGCCTCTGTAGTTGTTTCTACGTTTCTTTCCATACAATAGAACTGTCTTAACTTTTGGATTTATAATCGTGCCTTTGGTGTTGGCTAGCAGTTTTATTGAGTTACAGATGTTGTTCAATTAAAAATAATGCTGCTCTTGCTCAGCTAATCCATGTCATCAGATCAGCATTACATCCAGCTCGTTTATCAGTTGTGCGACTCAGATATATGCAGTTTCCATATCGTCCAGAGCTTTTCTGTCATGTGGGATTTGACTGTTGCCGGTTGTGGTGTATCGCAGGGTCTTACGTTTTCTTTCGTGTTTGTCGTATTACTGCTGGCGCTACTACTGCGACTGCTACACTGACAATCTTCATCTGCATATGTTATTGTACGTTGGATTTATGAGCTAGGAGACCTGAGAAATCCAAGCCGTTTAGTTGCGTCCGAGCTGTCCACAGCATTTCGTGCTCCCACTGAAATGTTGATGTCGTCATAATCAAGCCAAAGTTGGAAAAAAGAGAAAGAGTAAGAATAAGTATCCTTAGATGACAGTAGTCTTCACATAGAATGAAATTGTGAGCTGTCCTCCATGCACGATTTTGCCGTTTAATCCATCATAAGAATTCCGTATGATGTTATCTATTTTCACAGGTTCATCATAATTTCAAAGACTGTGACATAAGTTTCCCTTATCCACCTGGTCACATGTTTCTTTGTGGTCAATGAAGTTGCTGTTCACTGGTGAATTATATTCAATTGTTCCGTAATGTGGCGATTTGAGAATTCAGCCAACTGACCTCAAAGTTGTGCGCCTTCAGTGTCTTTCACTAGGTTTAACGAACCTTTGCTGTTGTGTTCGAGAATGTTGTTGATGGCTTTGCCTTGCTTGCTTTACACTGGCTGTTTTGGTTTACGATATTTTCTAGTGACAAATCATACAATTGTATCATACAATTGTTTCATGCTTCCTTCTCTTGCAGCTTCTTCTGCCATCACTGCTAGATCTTTCTCACATTTCTGTTTGTGAACTATAAGGCTGCTTGTTTGCTTCTGTGCATTCAACCTGTACTTTTCTTGGCTTTCTCTTTTCGTGTTCGGCTGTTATTGATTGCTATCTTCCGCTTGTTCCTTTCTCGAATATTATCCAGAGTATCGAAAGTGATCGATCCCTTGTTGCTTCTTTGACCCCTTTCCAGTTGTTCACCATCGTATGCTCCTGTCCTTTGAATAGATCAAGAAAGGCTTGAGACTCATTGCAGAGAGTTCTGTTGAGTTCGTTTAGTTTGCAAGTATCCTTAATAAAGACCGTAATAAACTTTTGTAATTCTGTTGTCCACTGCTTCTTGAGTTCCAGTGTCATCTTTCCCACAATCAAGTCATAGTAGCTTCTCTCTTGGTTTTTATATCCTCCATCGTATTTCTGGACATTTTATTGATGCACATGTGATCGATCTGGTTCTCTATAATGTCATCCACTGGGACACATGTAACTTGTCATATGCGTTTATGGAGAAATATGACTTTGCCACTGATCGTTTTGTTGAAGACACACAGATTCATAAGTCGCTTACGGTATCCGTTCTTTTCTCTCAGTCCATGTTGTTCTGTGATATCTTCATAACTAGTGTTGTCCTTGGCATTTACGTCTCCCATCTGAATGGCCAAGTGCATTGCTAGGCAGTTCTCTATGATCGACTGCATTTTATGCAAAATTGGTGTTCATCGTCTTCATTTCTATCATTTGAGAGTGCATAGAACTGATTATATTTCATTGTAATCCTCTCTCTCATTGCCTTGAAATATGATTCGATGATCTTGGGTCCATCAGGTTTCCAGCCTATAAGTGCATTTTGATCCACTTTGGATCGAATCAGTGCAACTCCTTGTGTTTCTGAAGCATTTTCTTCCTCGTAGATGGAGTAGAAAAGAGTCTCTCCCGAAACCAATCTTTTTTGTTTATACTACATCTAATCAGTTTCACTGATCCCAGGCACCACTAGGTTGAATGTTTTCATTTCCTGAGCAACTTGAATAGTTCTACCGCTTTCCATATCGTGCACACATTTTACGCTCGTATGTTAGTTACTTCTCTGGTTATGAGAATGGCTGTCATCCTCGCGGCTTCCGACGAGACCTAACTTTCTCCATGAGTCGTTGCAACTCTTGTTATTAAATAGCTTCCAAATCCCAGAGCAGGGTTAAAATGGCCTGAGTTGCTCGTTTTGGTTAGCACTTTTTTAGCAAGTTTATTTCTGTGATATAAAGCTGCTAACCCTATACTCACACCTGCTCCTCTAGACAGGCTTGGGACCGACAGTGACCCTAGAGAAGCTCCAAGTTAAGTAACTCATGTACTAGATCAATAAACTCAAAAATTTAATATTTGATATTATTAAAAATGTTATTGATATAAGTGACCTAATTTAGCTCGCTGCATAACATATAAACTAACAAATACAAGCTTAATTGTTGAATGTACTCACAATTTAGGTTTGAAATGATTTGAAATAAAATCAAATATTTATTAGTTTTTCTTTTTTTCTCATCATAATTTAAGAGATTTAGCTGAATTCAGAATTAATTCAGTTTATTTCAATGAAACTTGCATCGATTCACTATGTGATTTGGCAATACGTTATTCATTGGTCCCAAACATGATAAAGCAAATTGTGATCACTTCTATATTAACAGTTGGTGCATCGAATGTGACGAAAACAATTGTAATCAATCCACAGTTTAATTATACTACCATACAAGTATGAATTCAACATTTAATCTAATTGATAATATACAACTTAATTACATTCAAAATGAAAATTGTAGTGTGTGTTTAACCAATATATTAAGCCCGTAAGGCTGGTTTTAGTTTTTGGACGAACTAACTAACTAACCTTTTCTGCTTGAGTTATTATTCGCGTGTCATTTGACTTCGTCAATTCATTCGCTCATAATCTTGATTGTTTGTATTTGAATGGCTCATTTTGCTTGTCACATGTTTATACTGTTTTTGTCTGACTATAAAAAGTCTTATTTGACTGAGTTGGTCTACTCACCTCTACTCGTTTGGAATCTTATTGTTTGTCGGCTTACGTGAATGTATGAAACAAATTCATTCACATAGGACCGTATTGTGCTTTTAATTTCCACCGTCGCATAAGTGGGCTTTACTTAAGTATGATATACGGAAATTGAATGGAAGAATTATTTCAAAGCATATTCAATTGCTCATCTGAATCGGAGTTCAATCACCTACCACTTAAACATATTCATTTAGATAACTTATAAAAAGTGTTGAATTCAAAGATGATTTTTACCATTCATTATTTTACTATCATTTGAATCAATGATCAATCTAAGCTAGACAACCACTGATAACCTGAATTGACTAAATGTGAACGCCAGGCCTCTTGACCATTGAGCTGTCATCCGATGGGGTTATTGTTTTATTCCAATCAATCCATATTCTTTGTTGAGCACTGCTTCACATCCGAAAAGGGTCATTGGTGAGTGCATGAACAATGTCAGACCACCGTTAGAAAATTGGAAGCACATCCAGAGAACAGCAGATTCTATTGATATTTTTTCCAAATAAATTAACCATATAATCCTAAACTAATAAATATAATCATGAAATATAATTCATTTCGTAAAATTATCCCGCTGTAATAATAACAATTAGTTATTTTTTACCTAACTTTTTTTTTCAAGCTATCAAATCCAAATCCGATAGTCAGTTTAGTTTCTATTCCGCCGACAAAATCTAAACAACAATTTATACCGAATATTTTAACACCACTTAAATTAACATTGACTTTAAAATCGAATACAATACAAACCATCAATCTTCGATTGTACCCACCAGGTGTTTATCAAGAATTTCTTTTCGTTAAACCAATAATTTTGAGTCAGTCATCGTCATTGACATATACGAATATGAGCATAGAAGTAATTGGAACTGTAATTCATCTGAATGTAGAAAAAGCTTATTTTGAAGGTTTGTTAATGCTTTCTTTGTTGATTATTTTATTATAACTGAATTTTTTCCGACAAATTTAAAAATATTGTTGATTTTCAGTGAAATCACGAATTAATCATTGTTCGACAACCATTAGGAGCCTGAAATCATCCGCAGTATGTATCCACTACACACACTCGCGACAATAGAACCCAGGACATTCGCTTTTGGATGAGAATGTTTAACCTCTAGGCCACTTGTCTGACATTCAACAGTGTTCATGTGTAACTCACCGAAAACAACGGACGAAGTTGCGCGAGACGGTAGATTGATTGAAGTTGGACATTACTTCGGTTGTGTGCTTCCTCAGTGATCTCGAGATTAAGCGTGCGTGGGCAAGATCGAAAGTCCTGAAACCTGGAACCGTACAGAAAGTACAAGGATCGAGCACAAAGAAATCAATTGGTTTACACTAACTCGTGAAAAAGATTTTGGGTATTGGATTCGATTCCGGCTAGCTGCATGAGCAATGGATGCGCTCTTCACATGAATCCCATACTACAGCTTGAAGCAAACCAGTGCCTCAATTTCTAATTATATTCTAACATTGATCGACTCATGATTGCAAAATAACTAAACCTTGTTTTGAGAATTAATAGATATTTTTAAAAATTTATATTAGTATTTTGTGCACAAAATACGATCAGTTTTTACGCCTGTTACCCGTAATGAAAAATATTCCACCGATCAGAATCATTCATCCCACCTTGGCATCTGCGCTCCTTTCCACTTCTTCCTAATAGCTTTTGATAATTTTCATGACTGTCTCTGATTCGCGGCGCAATGTGTTCTTTCGTCTATCACTTTTTCTTCAGCATTAAGACTTGTTACTGATGTTGTCTGACCAATGGATTCGAAGTATCTTGTTTAGAAAACTGTTAATAAACACTTGTATTTTAAAGATTGTGACCTTCGTAGTTCCCCATCTTTCTGCTCCAAACAATAAATCAGTCTTCACGTTCGTATTGAAAACTGTAATTTTCTGTTAGTTGATAGTTTTTAAGCGTTTCAAATATTCTACAACTATAGAAATCTTACCTTTGCTTTGCTAATCCCTGTCTCCACGTAAGCATCGAATTACCTTGTTTGGCAATGATACTGCCTGGTACGTGAATGTTTCTACATCTTACAAGGCATCTCCTTCCAGTGTGATATGTTTGGTGCTTTTTCGCTGCTGCAGAGGCTACTGCTTCATTGACCGTTTTTATCTACGTTTGTTACTGTGTGTGGGATATAAAAGCTAGACCATCTGCAAAGTCCAGGTCGTCTAGCTGCACCCAAGCAGTTCACTGTATTACGTGCTTCAACTGAGATGTGGACATATTCATAATCCTGTCTGCCAGAAAGTATGACAGTTAGGCAAACTTATCTGATACTGGTTTTCGCTTGGAATAAATTAGTGAGCTGTCATTCATGAAGACTTATTCAGAATAATCCATCGTAAGAATTCCGTATGATGTCTAGAACCTCCTCATTTAAACCATAGTGTTAAAGACGTTTGCCTAATATTCTTATGTCCATATTGTCAAATACATTCTCATCGTCACGAATGTTGATGTTCGATTGCGATTACTATTCAAGTGATGATTTAGAACACTGTTAACTAATACCCTATACCGAACATCTGCATTGCTTACGTGCTGATTCAGTCAAATAAAGCTATGTAATCAAATTATCCATGGTCAAATACTAGTAATGTGTGAATATACTGTTTTTAAAAGTGTTCATCCGATATCCAAAGAGAATTATTCGCCAGTTCCTATTGACTAATTCCTACAGGTCAATCTTATGGTCGTCCGAGATATCAGTGACACGTGCTCCGATGTTGTTTCTTATTGGTTGTCCTGACTACCAATGTCACTTCAAATGTTACTTCCTATTAGTCGTCTTAACTTTCAATGTCACGAAAATGTATAAATACGCATTATCTGTTACGTTTTATGACCAGGACCAGTACCCGGTCCCGGATCCCTATTCCGGGATCCTGATTCTCTTCTGGATTCGAACCTCGTACTTTCTGGATGCTTGTAGAATACAGGTTCTACTTCAAATTCAAGTCTTCTTATTTTTACTCAATATGGGGATTGGGATAATCGGATTCGAGTAGCATGTCGTGTCACCGGATCCTGGATCCTCGCTCTCGTTTTCCGACCAGGTAAACTCGTAATAGTTCAAGTATATCAAGTAGACGTGTTACGTGCAGGCGTAACAATAAACTACATTTTGCTTCCATAAAGTAGTATATATAAACTAACAATTGAATAGCCTGATAAGCAATCAATCTCTGAAAATTCAAGCGACAATGACACTGTGTCTAAAATCATATTTGTGATAAGGTTTAATAAAAATGTGGAAAGTGAATAACCCTCAAGAATATCACTTAAGTTTGGAGTTGCCGATGACCGTTCACCATAATGTTGTGGATACTACCTACGATATGACTTATCAGTAGTATGCATTCGAGTGTCGCTCAGAAGTTAGTACTGAAGAGATGATTGTAGGCACCCGTTGTGTGACGCTATCAAAGTGTTTTGAAGACAGGAAGACATGTGAAATAAGATAACCAATAATCTGGAAGTCTGAAGATTATGTGTTTTCAGATTGCTAGTAAACTTTATCTTCTGGTGTGATATGGTCATTACATTGAACTGTAACTGAAACAATAGTGTTTGATGAAAGAGCCTATATTTCTGTGGCTCGCCCATGAGTCACAGATACTGTTAAGAGGCCTGTAGATCGGTATAGTTGGGTGCTGACTTTAGATCAAGAAATACCATTATATTTAGACAAACTGACTAATGGAAATTTTTTGTCAACTACATACACTTCTAGGTTTGAATCCTACCTATCTTTTCTGGACTTGCTCTACATGAACTCCAGCTAAAGGTGTCATGATTAATTAGATGAGTATATTAGACACTTTGGTAGTCAGATCAGTTCCACTGTGTGTATTAAAAGAAGACTTTTCTCTTTCTGATTAAAATCAAAGTCCTCTTTCCATATCGTTTAGTCAAGTAATTTTGAAATATCGATGACTAAACTTAATTCATACTGTTGAAGCATCGATTATGGACCAAATTATTCGGATATTGTTCATTTAAGATCAATAGCTTAGATTAATTCAATTTCTTTGATTCCAAGTTCTTATGTGCTACCTTTTACATAAATCTTTTCATGTCACGTTGACTCAGCTAATAATCGATTTCCTGTCCAAAACTGAACACAGTATTATTATTTACTTATTTAAACACACAAACATTGGTGCAAATAAAGCATCTGAATATTTATGTGCCTAACAAAACATCGAGTTAGTAAGTGGGATCGGATACTTTTCAAACACTTATGCCAAAGCAGGTGATTTTCTTAGGGGTCACACCCTGAGCCTCTGACTCAAAAGTCTAATCCACAGTGCAGTGGCGCAGCGTTCGGAGATGTAGTCACATGGTAGCCGGCGAACAAGAACGGGTTCATATGTCATTCATTCCGTAAGAATCCTAGAGCTGATGTACACCAGTGGTCAGGAATCACGGTGCATCAACCCCTCTAGGTGATACCTCCATACACCACAAACCGGTCTGAGCACACGCCGGACATTTACTTTTCATCCTTTTAGTTCCGTTAACAATAACCGTGTGGAGACAAAGTAGTAGGTAGGACTTTCCTGACACATATGTGACCGTTTTGGAGCATTTTGAGTGGGATAGTGAACTCTATTCACTGTCGATTGTACCAGTGCGTTTGGAGGCCGACAAAATAACTTTCGATTATATTATTCGCTTTTCTGTACACTCGTCATTCAATATTTATTATAAAATGGTATAGTTTTCGTGAGGAAACTTAACAGAAATGGGCGCGTTCCTTCCTAAATTAGCTGTTCTTGCAGTGTTATAGATATGGTAAAGTGAACAACAATTCTAATGGAATTTCATATCATGTGGGATGAATAAGATAAACTATTCTTATCTTAAATTTAACGTGTATTCTCTTTTCAACAGATCACTGTTAAGTTCTGGATTTTAAATCCAAAAGCATTTCCATAATACTCTACACTGATAATAATTATTTACTCAGAAGTGACTAGGTTCTAGATACACAGACTTCACGTCAGAAACTATGACCAGCACAATTCAACCATGTCAGGTGGGAGACAGTTATTCACAACAAGCATCAAGAAATTATCACGCAATATCGACAGTCGATCAAAATTAGACATTTGCATTGTTATATACTGGTTCAGCGTTCTATAGTTTGAGTGTTAGTATAAGAGACGGAAGAGAGTAAATTTGATTTGCGGTTTGCTGGTAGTGGATATACACTGCTGAGTAGTCTCATACTAGGATGAACCACTTATTTAGGATTTTCAGGTTTTCGATGATGGTTTCTCTAACTATGATCAGTTAGTGATGTAAATTCTATGAAAATCCCACCATCTCCACCCTGATAAATATCTCTTGAGTGGATCAGTAAGTAATCTCAACAGAGCATATATGTAAAAGATCTCTAGTCTATTTTAAATTTGTTTCTCATTAGGTTTTTGTCTACAGATTCCCTTTTAGAATATTGTTCTAATTGAAACTACATTCCTTTCCTGAATTTGGGATGCCTGTTATCAAAAGTAACAGATTTAAATTTAATTTAAATAGAAATTAAATTATCCATTAATTTTTTAATCTTTTCATCAGGAATACAAACTGATCAAACGTTTTCTTCAGTTAATCAGATAAATTGCTTTATGCAGTTATATACTGCTACTTCTGCCACACCGGTGGTGAATTTCAATTACAATTTAACATTGAATTCTGTTTCTCTTCTCGGCACCTTTATGTTTGCTTCCGGCACTTCACCAGTAAGTCAAACAGATCCATTTCATTATTTATTTTTGAATTATATTAAAAACGTTTCGATTCGTTAACTTTTTTACGAATACTTAGTGGATACAACACACAATGTAACATATTTATACCTGATAATCTTCATGGAAAAAAAGAACATTGATCAAAGGTCTTCAATGAACTCTGTTCTGAACTTTTCTTTCCAGTATTTGCTGTCAAGTGTTATTCACTCATTTTACTACTGCCTCCGATTCCAAGTGCTGTTATTCCTTTTTTGGTCTGTTACTTTTTCTTTTGCTTTTAGGAAATAAAGTTTTGACTTGCCTTGTGACACAAGTGGTTGCCACAAAACGAGTTCTACTCATGCTTATTCTCCTTTCCTTTTT